TAATTAGAACAGGGTTTTGGGGTAGAGTGTACTTTGCTATGAATAGCAACCAATAGTATTGGTAATTATCGAGGCTTGTAGAGCAGTTTGGCAGTTTGGGACTCAAGATACCCCAAGGCCATAACCCCAAGGAACCCCCNNCCCGCCCCCCCCCCCCCCCACCCCTAAACCCTAAACCCTTGACCCCCCTCCCAAAAAAAACAGACCACCCAGAAGCCTTCGTCAACCTCGTCAGCTGTGTGGAGCCGTCTCCTGCGGTGATGGCCTCTGCGATCTGCGACCTCAAATTTTCGATGAAGCTGGGAGATCTCTGCGAAATGGTCCAGGTTTAGGGGTTTGGGGCCCAGCTCCCTGGAATTTTATGGCTCAGGGCTTGGAGAGTTCAGGGGTTTAGAGGTTTGGCCAGGGTTTTCTGGGTCTCTGCTGTGAGATTGGGTGGTGGGGCATCCGGGCTCGGAGGTCTACTCGGGCTCGGGCTACAGGGCCGAGAGACGACCAAACAGGAAAAAGACACCCACTCCGGCTTCCACACTCCCACTCACTCCCACTACGACTACGACTATGACCGCGACTACGACTACGACGACTGCGACGTGTTGCTGCTACTGCTACTACCGCTACGACGACAACGACACCACCGCGGCTGTTTGCTGCTGCTGCACCGCCTTATTCATCTCACTGACAACTAACGCAATTTTCAGGTCTCAGCCTCAAGGGGCCGAGGGCCCCTCTGTGCCGCCGAAGTGCCAGGGAACTGTGCTTCCAAAATCTATGGTAAACCAGCCTCGCAAGTACCTCCGCTTCGGCAGACGGAAGAGCTCAAGCAGTCATGCACTGTTTGAAGCTCCCCACTTTCAACAGACCGGGCATCCTAGCAGCGTCTGTAGGGTTGTCTAGGAGTTTCAGGCTGAAGGATTCAGGCGGGGCTTTAGGGTTAAACTCGGGCATGCAACATGTGCCCAGAAATGCCAAACAAGGTGCTTCTTGGCGATGACGGCCCGGCTCGTGATGAGCTTGCCTTCCGTGGACAGGGTTCTGAAGTTGAGGGTTGAGGGTGCACAACTTGTCCGGCCATTTCTGAAACAGGCTGCACCCTGGTTAGCAGGATGTGCTGATGCCACCGAAACCAGCCTACACAGCGGTTTTTGTTCCGGCTTACATGTCGCACTGGCAGCCAGGTGACTTCGATCTCACAGCCAGGATTCTTGATTGCTCCATTCTTGTTGCGATTATTGCGGCTTTCATGTGTCGAATTGCTGACAACGCTAGCAGGCCCCTTTACAGTTCTGTGTGAAGAACTGCTTTAAGCTTTTGGATGTTGGAGCTTCGGCAGGCCGAGACGACCACGGTTTAGGGTTTAGGTTTAAGGTTTTAGTTTTTAGGGTTTAGGGTTTAGGGTTTAGGGTTTAGGGTTTAAGGTTTAGGGGTTGACGTTTCATAACCATGGATGTTTTGGGCTCAACATTAGGGTTCGAGTCCGCCAGCCTGGCGGCACGTGCAAGTCCTTCTCCGTGGCTTCAACTGCGGTGTTGAATGAGGCGACCTCAGAGCCACATTTTAGGGTTTAGGGAACCACAAAACAGAAAGAAGATGACGACGATGAAGCCAGGCAGGCAGGCTAGCAGGCTGGCAGGCAGGCGGGCAGGAAGGCAGCGAGGGATGTGGGGAAGGGAGGGAGGGAGGGAGGGAGGGAGGGAGGGAGGGAGGAAGGGAGGGAGAGAGGGAGGGAGGAGAGAGGAAGGCAACGGTTTGTGAGGATCAGCAACTACGTGTAAACTACAACAGCAACGACAGCAGCAGCAACAGCAGCATGAAACACACATTGTCGCGTCTGCTGTCTTGGCAAGACAAGTGCAACAGGGTTGGCGAAGGCTTGTACAAAAGCGGGTTGCAACACAAAGCAGCCGTGACAGTACCATGCAAAGTCGTCGTTTCAATGCTCTTCAACAACTGTCCCGAGATACCCCTTTCCAGTCAAGGCCAAGAAAAACAGCGACCGCGCTCTGGTGGCAGCGGTCCAGCGAGTTGCAAACGACACGAAGACTACGACTTCGACACCTGCTACAGCAGCAGCTGCTGCAGCAGCAAACGAAAACCACCATGACGACGACAGCGACAGCGACAGTGGCCGCGACAGCGACAGGTACCGCAAGAGCTACAGCTACAGCTACAGCTACAGCAGCCGCAGCAGCAGCAGGAGCAGCAACAACAACAGCAGCAACTACTACTACTACTACTACTACTACTACTACTACTACTAGTACTGCTACTACTACTACTACTTCGACTACTACTACTACTACTACTACTACTACTACTACTGCTACTACTACTAGCTACTACTGCTACTACTACTACTACTACTAATACTACTACTGCTACTACTACTAGCTACTACTGCTACTACTGCTACTACTGCTACTACTGCTACTACTGCTACTACTACTACTACTACTACTACTACTACTACACCTCCTCATCCAGCCCATTACTCAGACTCTTGCTCATGTTGCTCCTCGAGCCGCAGGTTGTGGGGGGTTTGGGAATTGGATGATTGGGCTTGTCTCATAGAGTTTCGAGAGTTTGGATTTAGCGATATGCCCACACGCGGAAAGCTGCCACGCATTTGCTGCAGCTCCAGAGGGACTGCAAAGCACGAGGGCCTGCCCTATACCCGAAACAACTAGAGAGTAAAACACCCTGTTGAGGTTGGTACCTTTTGCGGTGTATGTAGAACACAAAGCCTGGTGATTCAAAAGATCCGCTGCAGGAAAATACGGTATCAAACAACTCCCAACCCAAAAATCAAAAGTCGATGAACCCTAAACCCTAAACAAACTGATACTCCGAACTCTAAGTCCAGAGCTCATGACACACTGAACCCTTCAGAACCCCAGCCAGCACAAGGACCGCCCAAAACGCCCATGCAGGACTCGCCAGTTGTGTGTTAAGAGTCTGCTCAGTTTATTACTTGGGTTTTAGTTTAGGGCTTAGGGCCTTAGACCTGTTGGCGTGTAGGGTAAGGGGTCCAGGATCAAAGAGTTCAGGCACTTCTGGCAGAGCATGTGAGAGACGAGAAAAGCATGAAAACTGTTGCCTGGCCTCCCACATGAAGTAGAGCTTCTCAAAGCAAGTATCCCCATGCAGATACTCCCAACTATACTCATAAGAACCCAACTTTTAGACTTGGTGAAACCACGGTTTAGGGTTTAGAGTTTAGGGTTTAGGATGAACCCTAAACCCTAAAAACCATATAGAATTCTTTCACGCCAGCCTCGTAGTACTCTTCGAAGCTCGGCAGTCGAATTGACGTGCAGCTCAGTTTACACGGCTCCTAAACTTGACACCCCCACCCTAACCCCCCAAAAAAAAAACAAACAAACCCTGAACTTTAGGCCCCCCTTAACCTTACACATCCCCCAATCCCCCTAAAACCCCAAACCTG